TACAAAGTCAAGTGATTTTGCCAGGATCACATCAATATTTTGTAATAAAGAAGAAAGAAACAGCAGAAATATTTGGGATCTATTTGATCTGCATTTGATTGTGGAACTTTCTTTCTATGAATGTTGTCTGATTAGTATTGTATGAGTATAGATGTCAATGATAATGGTCTGAAAGAGTAATATAGGATTATTTTTATTTTTTAAAAGAAGGTTTTCAACCTTTAAAAAACCTGAACTAAGCATTCAAAGACAAACTATGCTATGAAAATAGTGAAACCAGCATGTTCACTTCTTTACTTCTTGCTTGTTTGTGATTTGTTCCTTTTTAACAGCTTGAGAGAAGCAGGTGGGTAAGCCTAGATTCTCTTAGAGGAACACTGCTTTTAGGGGCTGAATTAAGGAACAAAATAATTAAAAATCAATGGTGATGATAGGGGTGGAGGGCATATGGATTTTTTAGTGGAATAGTTGTGAAGACCTGAGTTTGGTGTTCACCTTAGACTTCAACCTTAGGACTTCAGTAGCTTTTAACTTGTGTGCCTTGTTTTTCTCATTATTGGTTCTGCTTCATCTTGACAGGAAAACAGACTCTCCATCTGCAGCAAATTATGCTATGCAATAGGAGGTGCCCCAAACCAAGTGGCAGGGAGTGCTGCTGCTTTCTTTCTGCAGATCTACCTGCTAGATATAGCCCATGTAAGTAGCACAAGACACCTTTATGGACTGTAGACTTACCTCAGCTTTCATGTGGTCAACAGTGTCCCTGGAATGATAAAAGGTGAATTAGCTGATGAAGTTTTTTTTATTGTCTTGTTATCATTGCCTCTAGCTGTTTAGCATCCTGGAAACTGCATAAAATGTTCTGGAAATGTTGTGGGGGTTTTTTTGTGAAGAAAGCTGAGTTATCCTTCCTGAATGTTCTTTGCTTCCAATCTGTGGCTTTCTGGTGCAGAAGCAGACCTGCTAAATCAAAGCAGTAGGAGTCATCATCCCATTCATTTGACTTTCAGCTGCTCCAGCTGGATTTCAGGACAGCAGAGAAACAAAGAAAATAAATCCATAAGCATTTTTTATTGTTTTGGATTTTCTTGTATGTCTGTGTGGTAACTAGGTGGTACAGATAAAATATCACACAGAAAAAAAGGAATTTAGGGAGATGAGGCCAAACTCCAGGGACTGTGAGAACAGCTCTAGCTGGAACTACATGAGTGGCTTTCAGCACTGATGACTGTTTTTATTTCCTGAAAAGATCAGGAGGTTCTGGATCAGACACCATTATCCATTTGCTGTTTAAGATGTAGAAAGAGGGGATACTGGGGCTGGGGAGTGGAGATGTCCAAAAGATTTAGTTTATAATTGTCCTATAAATATCTGATATCAGATGCTGAGGTGTAATTTATTTGAGGGGCTTAAATATTTGTTCCTTGATGGTTTAGTCTGTTCTCTGAAGTAATTCTGCAGGGACAGGATTTAATTCAAGGCCTGATAAACAGCTCTGAGATCATATGGGTTTTTTTCTACACAGAGCATGTAATTTTATAGTCACTGCATGGATTTAATTCTTGCCCACTTAGAGTAAAACTCACTGGGTATAATCTTTCATGCACACTCAGTGTCCTTTCTAAGAAAATCACATTTTTATGCACTTTATGTAGCTTACAGTTTTTCCATTTGAATTCCTTGTTCCACCTAAATTACTTGTATAAACTACAGTAATATAAATGTAAACTACAGAAATATAAACGTAATTCTAAACCACACAGGATCCTGGAGTCAAATTCCAGAAAACACCAAAACCTCTGTTAATAGGATTCTGGTCTTTATGCCTTTTGAGATGGGTGAATTTAGCATATTTTATCTTTTATTTTATTGTAGGATTCTGGTCTTTATGCCTTTTAAGATGAATTTAGCATATTTTATCTTTTATTTTATTAACACTGAAAAGTCTCTGACATTGGTGCTGACAGACACTGGCCACAATTAAGGGCTAAGAAAATGCAGCCAAGAGATGTATAAACCCATACTGATGATGAAGACAGGGTGACTATGCAGGCTCCACTCCTAACATAAAAGAGCTTTTAATTTTCCTCAAGGCTTCCTTCCACTTCTGCTTATCTAGTGTCCACTTCTGTCTATTCAACTATCTGAACAAAGCACCAATGCAAAACCCACCTAATTTGAAGCTCTCTGTCCCTCTGTCCCTCATAACCACAGGATTTCAACCCCTGTATCTTTCTGACTGCTAGTTTGATCTTGTTTTGGCTGACTTGTCTCTTGAGAAGCAGTTGTGACTTGTGAGCACTTCCAGAGCAGCCCCCATGGCAAGTCTGACTCAGGGTTGATGAACTACTTGCCACCCTGGCTGGGGTAGCCACAAATAAGCAAAGGTGGGTGAGGTGAACATCAGCAAACTACTGTGGGACACAGCCTGGTGCTCATCCCAGCCTTATCCTACTGTACAGCAACAGAACACTTGGCAAGCCACTGTTGTTCCCTGTTCTGTTCCCAGTCCTTCCCTACTTGTAAGTTTTCTAGGCTGAAGTATTTATCTTGGAGCTGAAGATTGGGTGCAGCTGCAATTTCACCTCATTTGGGCTGAAATTTAACAGGTGTGATTACAAAAGTGAATAGCACCTGCCTTTTACAAAGGTCATCTGGGACATTCAAAGGTTATTGCTTCTTTCTTTCATTCACCTCTGAGGGAATACCTGCAGCAAATCCTGAAGGCAGGGGGCCTGCACCAGCTGGAAGCCCTGCTGCCTAGGAGGCAATAAACTCCACAGAAAAGCAGGGGACACTGTCTCAAGGTTGGTGTTCCATCAGCTGCATTTGCCAGGCTTCCTGCCATACTGGAGCACAGACAGCTTGAAGAAGCACACAGATTAAGGTTTTTTTCTGCTGTCATTTTTTGAGCCACATAGGCTGTTTCAGTAGGCTTTCCTGAGAACTGATTTGGGGAACGTTCAGGTGTACATGATTTCAATTATTTTTTTCAGGTGTGTAGTTCCAGTGGCATGGGCTGAGCACTTGGAAGAGAACCCACCTGTTAAACCATTGTGTGATAGGAATTCACAGGGTCACAGAATCACCAAGGCTGGAAGAGAACTTTAAGATCATCAAGCCCAGCCTGTGACCAACACCACCACATCTCCAGACCATGGCACTAAGTGCCACATCCAGCCTTGCCTTGAACACCTCCAGGGACGGTGCCTCCACCACTTCCCTGGGCAGCCCATTCCAATGTCTAATTACCCTCTCTGTGAGGAAGTGCTTCCTAATATCCAACCTAAACCTCCCCTGGAGCAGCTTCAGGCCATGCTCTCTAGTCCTGTCACCAGTTGCCTGGGAGAAGAGCCCGACCCTCACCTGACTGCAATCTCCCTTCAGACAGTTGTAGAGAGTGATAATGTCCCTCCTGGCTCATTTTATTCTTATGTGATCCATGAACATGTTTTTCCAAGTGAGATTTGTTGGACGTGTGCTGGCAACTTTGATTTGAACAGATGTGCCTTATGCAGTTGAGTTGTCACAGTTCAGTTCCGAGTGGATAAAACCTGCTGTGCTGCAACCTCTTCCACAGCCTCCTGCCACCAGCTGGCAGCCTCCTGGGTAATCTGGGGAGATGAAAAATCATGAATGCATATGAACAGCTCCCTCTGCTTTTTTCCTAAAAAGGTCAAGATAGAGATGGAGGGAAATGGGGCTGTGTGGGAAACAAAGTGAGGGGATAATTAAAGGGGCTATGTCAGATTTTATGACTAACATAAGGACTTTAGTCTGCTGTTTGACTGCCTGACTCATTTTCCTAGTTCTAAACACGTTTGTAATCTCTCCTTCCTTGCACTCTCCTCCTCTAATTCCTTCTTGCATGGTGCCTATCTCAGTGTTTCACTTGTTTGCTACAAATAACCAATAGTAATTTCTATGACAGTAGCAGACATGTTTTGCAAATGAACTATCATTATTCTTTAAAACACTGAGGTTTTTTCTGGAAAGTTGCTTTATGCTGTTTCATTGTATTGAGACAATGGCTCTTGTTTACGCTATTGTGTCTGTACTTCCAGATTACTCCGTTTCATGCCTCTTTGGTGCTGTTTGTTGGCAAAGCCTCAGGTGCAGTTACTGATCCTGTTGCTGGTTTTTTCATTAGCAAAAGCAGATGGACAAAAATTGGCCGACTCATGCCTTGGTAAGCAAAACTATGTACATGTGTTTGCATACATACAGGAATATTTTGTGTGTTGTGATGATACACTCATCTCATTGAGTTAGGCTGTTTTTTCTTTTCCTGTTCCCCAGACAACAGTGGTTGTATTAATTCTACATATATGAAAACAGAAAGAAAAATTGTCATGTCATCTGTTTCCCTTTCATCTCTTCACTCATGAGAACATTGAGGAGATTTTCTTCCACTGGAGACACAAACAACTAAAGCCAAGAACAGTGTGTTCTTAACAAAACTGGAATCTCACATCTAAAACTTTCTTGAATCTGTGGTTGAATTTTCATCTTTGTCTAGATTCCTTTAGCTTGGCTCTGCTTCTTCCCAAAGTTGGAACTTGTTTCTACTTGTCCTAGTGTGCCTTCCCTTCTCACATGAGCCTCCCAGGAGCTCCATTAACTTTCTTTCTCTAGGCCTTTTGATTCAGTCAAGGATAAGTGCATCCATGGGGAACAGATGTGACACCCCAGCATCAAAAGGCCCAGCAACCAGCACTGCCCTGACACCTTCTGACATTCTTCCTTACAGCAGTCATCCTGGTCCTGCTTCTCTTTAGTCCCCATAATCAAAATACTGAATTAAAAAATCACCATGACTTTTATAGTGGAATGAGGTGCTGTCAGAGGTTGATAAGCAGTCCTAAAGGGACCGAGTGATGTTTCACAGTCACACACTTATCTCTTGTAGGCACTCTAGACAGGACACTTGTCCATGTGCTGTTCATGTGGTGTAAGGAGAGAAGAATGAATGTTACTCATATAGGAAGGAAGCTGAGAGATGTGAAGCAAGAAAGCTGGAAAAGAGTGGCCCTTGTTAGAACAACCCAAGCTCATCTGTGCCACAGGGCATTTATTTGGGGGGTTTTTAGCATTTTGGAAGTCAAGGGGAGACTGAGGGGTTTGTGAAATAGGGAGTCATTATTGCTCATCTGTGCATTGTAAGGAAGTATTGTAAGACATTTTCAATTAATATAACCCGAAAACATGACTGACAACAAAAATCTAAGAGTAAATGTGGTATCCTGAGCAAAGAAGCTGAATTTTCATGGAAAATAAGCCAATTTTTTTAGCTGGTGCTTCTCTTACTGTCATGTGGTTTTAGGGCTACAGAAACTTGTCTATGGGCAGCTTATACCTGACAAAGAACAGAAGGCAAGTACATGTTGGAAGTGTTCAGGTCAGAGTTAAGCTTTTTCTTAAGAGCCCCATGGGAGAAGAGGAGCTTGCTGCTCTTGCTCTTTTCAGGACTTGGTGTGTGACCAGGTAAAAGGAGTGCTTTTTAATGAGCAGTGGATTAACTGAGTAACAAAGTTATTAAGAAAGAAAATAATGACATTTTAATACAAATGGCATTAGTTGTATTCTGATGCCTTTTTTATTAATATTATTATCTGAAAATACTGCAAATACATTGTTCAGTGTTAGCATTAAATTGATGTTAGAATAGCTCCCATCCTAGCACAAATATGAACTTATCAGCCCTTTGCACTGTAAACCAACTGTTGTACAACTGGCATTTCTTACAGGAAAAGTGCTTATCTAACCCAACCTTTAGTGTTTGTCAAAAAGTTGCTTTCTTCCCAGAGGATTTAGTCTGGTTTTTTTGGTGGTGGCAATTTTGTTCACGGTAATTTTGTTCCTGCACTTTGGAGGTCAAACCATGTGTATACAAAGCAAAAAAAATTTAAAAAGAGGTCTTCCATTAGCTTACAAATACTTCAGTGTATTGAAATTATTCTGACTTCTCAAGTCTCAAGCAATGGAATTGTCTCAGCCAGAAAAGCCTGCCAGCAGAGCAAGAACATTAGTAAAGAAGATGAACATTTAGCTATAGCTTAATGCTCTGCTCAATATAATAAGAAATCATAAATCACTCTTGATCTCTCTTATGTAACATGTTTAAAAAGCATAAGCAGACATTGACTTGAAATACACAAATCTGCTCATTTTGTTAAAGGAGGTTAGAGTAGAAAATCAGATATTCAGCAGCTTCAGCAAGGCTCTGAAAACTCATTGACATTAATGAGGAAAAGAAAATGTGGAAAGAGGATGGGGAAAAAAAGGGGGAAAGAATACTAAGAGGGTTATTGCTGAAAAGCTGTATGAAAAATTTGCTCTGAAAATATTTAACTGTCATGACCCTGTCTGGATACCAGTCTGGAACAGCTCACACTTTTGGTGAGGAGGGTACATTCCCTGAGATGTGTTAGGATTTTCCCTTATTTGTGTTTTCCATTCCTGTTGCTGAGCAGCTGTGGATGAACTATGGCCTGGGGACCAGAGGGACAGAGAGTACCAGAACCTGGCACTTCCCTTGTAAATGCTCAGCTCCTGGTGGTGCTGAACATCCCAAAGAGGACTGTGGGAAAGCCATTGTTTTACTATTTACCCACATTACTCTTTTGTATTCTAGGTTTCCAGTTCACGACTGAAAAATAATCAGCTGACCCCCAATGTCAGTAGTGCTGTTGTGAGGGGATTAATCTGTTTTCTCTTTTATGTGTTTGGATATATTTTTTTTGGGATCTTGGTCATCTAATTACATTGTTTAATGTCTGTTTTACAATAATACAGGAGAGCCCTGATGCTGTTGGTGCTCAGACTTTTAAAAAATAATAGCATCTGACCATGTCTTCCGTATCATGGAGTTTGATAAGTGTTGTTTGCCTGAAATTATTTTTAGACTAATGTAATTAGTTCCTGGTTACTGACAATGCTTGGAATTTAAGTTTCTGTGGTTCTTTTTTTAAGCCACCTTCCTCACCAGGAGATGATTCTTTTGTATTTGAATTGATAAGGAGTTTTGCTGTTAAATGGAGCAAATTATCACATACACAAGTATATACAAACTGTAGGAGCTTTTGCAGTAGGCTATCCACTATCTTTTATGCTATTTACAGCATTTTTAATTATATCAACATATTTGCACTTGCTTGAGGTAGCAATGAAGAGGCTAAGCTGAGAGGAAAACTGAAGGCATGCAGATTGGAAAAAAGAATCCTTGGTAATGAGTCAGCTCATCATCAGAAATTGCTTAAGTGTGCAAGGACATATGACAATAGAGCTTAGATTTCAGTGGTTCTTTTTAATAAACGTGTAGTCTGAGACATACTGAGGAATGGCAGTATAGGGATGCTGTTACAGTGCATGTCTGTTCAGAGTGGGGTATAAAGTACAGCTCTTTTCCTTCAGGTTTGCTATTTTTTCCATTTTATGGAAATACTTGTACACATTTTATATTAATCTGTGTATTTATTACACACTAACATTTAATACTTAAGAACATGACATTATTGTAGCTAGAAAAACTGCACATAAAATGCCTTATATTGATTATTAGCAGGAAAATGCAAAGTGCTTTGCTATCATTACACTGAGTTTGTTGACATGTGTTATCTTCTTTGCAGGATGCTGGCATGTACACCCTTCACAGTAGTGTCCTATTTTTTTATGTGGTACCTGCCTCCTTTTGTATTGGGAAGAGTTGCATGGTACCTGATTTTCTACTGCCTTTTCCAAGCTCTGACCACAGTAAGTAGACTGAAGATTGTGATGTTCTCAGCACTAACTTGCTTGCTTTCTGTCCATGTTAATGCATTCAGATTTAGTAAACTGAAATTTACCAAAACATTACATTTGTTTCAACTTCTAGTGAGTTTAGGGGTAGGCAGATCTCCTGTTATCAAACCCTCTGCTGATTGATGGTTTCTTCCAATGCTTTCTCTGGCAACTGACCTGCTAATTCAGGCAGATTACCTCCAGTCACTTTCACTGGCAGTGCTCAAGGAGACCAAATACATCTGTGGCTCTAGTTCTGTGTGTTTTGACTCAAGCTAGAAGGCCAAGAGAAGTCAGGGTACCAGAGCTGAAATAGTACTGCTAGTAGTCATCATGATGTTTGTGCCTTGATAGAAGAGTTTGAGCACAAGGATTTTGTGGGGTGTATCCTGGCTGATTGAATTTCACTGGATCTTGTTTTGAAAAAGTGGCTCCCAGACATTGAAAACGTTGCATTTTCTGTTTGGCTTTTCTCCTTTTTACAGATCTGTTGGACCTGGGAATTTTGTATTCCTGTGTTAAACTAGAATGTTTCCCTGGGCCCTTTTTTTCCCCTGTAGAAAGGTGGCCCAGAAGACATTAATAATGGATTAAAAGAATTCTCTTCCCCCTCTCTTTTGAAGGAAAAACAGGTTTTCCATGGCACAGCTCTGGAAACGTATACACTGGCCATGTTAAATGGAGGTGAACAGAAATGTATTTTGTGTGAACAGAATAGAATGCAGATAGTGTAGTGGGACATAGTTTGCCTGGCTATAACAGATCTCTGTGGTGGTGGAAACACCACAGAGAACTCAGCTGTTCAAGCAGGTTCATATCCCACTTCTTGTCTGAGGGTTTGGCCTGTATGATGTTCCAAGATTTAGAAGTGAATTTTATTATAGTTCAGCTCTATGGGGACAGGATCCCACCCACATAATGACCATCCAAAATGTCAAGCCTGTAATGTTCAACAGTTATTTTCTATTAAGTGCTACTAGAGATAAGGCCTTTCCTGCAGTAAAAGTGAGGCTCATTTACCCAGCACTGCAATGAATATTAGCAGTGCATTGTTTGGCCCAGGGAGGCTGTGAATGTCTCCTTCTCTGGAGACATTCAAGACCCACCTGCAGTCCTGAGTAATGTGCTCTAGGGGATTCTGCTTCAGCAGAGGGGTTGGACTAGATGATCTCTAGAATTCCCTTCCAACTCTGACAATTCTGTGATTCTACCAAGATTTCACAGCCACGTGTCAATTACCTGCTAGACAGTGCTGTAAAAACAAATGAGCAACACTCCCCATCTACTTGGGTGTTTCTACCTGTTCTTAACTCCAGTGAAGGAGTGTGTAGCAAATTGGTGCTGAGGACGAAGCAGTTTTCACAATTATCTTCTGGGATTACAAAGTGAGACAGTTCTATGAAATATGTTGGGGATTTTTACAGTCTCCTCTCTTGAATAAAGTGGGAAATAGTATTGTCTTCATTATGGCTTTGCTTTCTGTCAGTTAGATCAAGCTAGGAACATTATAGTTTCCTAGTGCAAAGAAAACTAGATGCTTTATAGCCTAGCTAAGAAGGATGTTTTCCCAAGGGAGGTGAAGGAGCACAGCATTAAAGTAAAGCCTCTTGGTAATGTATTATTTTTTATTTGTATTATGAAAGGTAATTTTTTTTTCCCTTTTATATGTTTCACAAGTCAGGAAGAAAAGGCAAGAACTTTGTGCTAAAAATCCCAGTGTTCTAAATCAGTGGATTCCAAGGTCTCATTAAACCATTTTCCTGGATATCAAAGGAATATAGCATTTACAATGACAATTTCCTAAGTGATGTTCTTTCTTTGCATAGTTATTCCAAGTACCATATTCTGCCCTCACCATGTTTCTCAGCACAGACCAGAAGGAAAGAGATTCTGCAACAGCATATCGTGAGTGTGATCTGGGCTTTGTCCTGGGGGTTAGGGCTGGGGTTTATTTAAAATCATTATTTATCTATAGGGAGATCCTAATGGTTTGTGTCTCTAAACTGGACCTTTATATGGAATGTTTAATATCTGATGAAAAATATTTTGACTTGTAAATGCTTCTGTTTTTCTAGCAAAATAGACACGAGTGTTTTTCTGTCTGAAGTTGTTTGATGAGCTCTAAACTCTCTTTGGTTTATTACTAGCCAGACAAAAGAATAAAAGTCACTCTTACCCATGCCAGGGTAGGGAGCAGTGTTTAATTTGAAGGTGTTTGGTAGAGGAAAAAACAAAGTGCTAATCTTCTGTAATATTGAATTAAAGAAAGTCTGAAAGTAATTTTAAGCATATATTTTTTATTATTTTTTTCTCCTATTTCAAACTTCCTTAGTTTTATGTGCTATAAGTTCAAATCTCAAACTTGGTTTTTTCTCTGGGAAAAAATCTACCTGAGCATCTTTATGCAAAATGAGCTTGGACAGTGCAATTCTGCTGCCATACAGGAATGCAGCTTCTCTTCCTGCCATGGGGATGACAGGTATGGCTAGACTGGGTGGGAACAGGAGTGGCAGGCTTGAAATCACTCAGGGTGAATAGGTCCTACAGCCCAGATTATTAACCACTGCCCTTGTTGGAGCTGTAACAACTATCTAGCCTTGTTGACTGATCTTGAGTACATGGAGCATGAGCTGGATGCCCGTGGCTAGATCTTGGTTTCCCAAATGGAGATTTTGGTTGGTTTTTTAGGTGATGCCTTGTTCTGATGGTACTTGGAGCATCAGTGTTCTGAGTCATTCCCTGGGGCTGAAGTAGCTAGTTCTGCCTGACTGTGGCCTTAGGCAGTTAAAACCAGCATCTGCTGTTTCCAGGAGCTTTGCAGCTGTATTATTTCCAACATGAGGCTGAGTTAAGATTAATTTACATTTGGAGAACCTAGAGGTCTGATCACATAAGTGGTTTGAAAATTTTTTCAAGAGTTACTGTCAAGCTTGAGATGAAAATTCTGATGTTATGGCTCCTAGTCCTGCTTTGGAAAAATGACATTCAACATTTAAACTGTAGGTCTGCTTTAGTCCTCGAGATCAAAGGTTTCTATGTTATCCCCTTGTGGCTCTTAATCTCAGCTGCCTCCATCATGAAACTTATATAAAAGAGGTTCTTACATGAGGGGTTCTAAAAGCTAATCAGAAAAAAGATGACAAAACTGCCTTTCCTTGAAACTGCTGTGTTACTGACCTGGGTCTGCTGTTCTTGGTACTGCTTTTTCTGCTTGTTCTCTGTAAAAGAAGATGGTTTGGTGAGGTTTCTCTTCAGTGAGACAAGTGAGCAAGCTTGTAGATGGTGGAGGAGCTGCCTTCTCATCCTTAGTACACATTTGTGCTTCCTTCTTCAGGAATGACCATGGAAGTGCTTGGGACCTTGATTGGAGCTGCCCTTCAGGGCCAGATTGTGGCCAGTGCTCACGTCTCTCATCACTGCACTGGGAATCCCCCAGTGAACACAACTGACTCCTGGTATGACACTCCCAGCTTTCCAGACCCCTCAGATCCCCTGCTTCATCAGGTGAGTGCCCATGGGAGCACAGTAACCCTCTTAGGGACAGGGGTGGGGGTGTTTCCCTAATACCACATCCGATAACCAGCCAGGTAAGCATGAACATGCCTTCTTTGCAATCAGTGCCACTGGAGCTGAGACAGCAACCTTGTTGCAAACAGGGCTTCCCCTCGGTTGCCTTTGCAACCACTTTTCAGGCTGGCAGCAGAATTACACTGGGGAGCTTTGCTGAAGATGGAGTCATAGCATTGTTTTTGTTAGAAAGGACCTTGAAGATCATCAAGGCCAACCAGTAACACAATTCTGCCAAGTCCACCACTGAACCATGTCCCTCAGCACCACATCTACATGTCTTTTAAATACCTCCAGGGATGATGACAAAACCACTTCCCTAAGCAGCCTGTTCCAGTGCCTGCAACCCTTTCAGTGAAGAAATTTCTCCTAATATCCAATCTAAACATCCCCTGGCACAACTTGAAGCCATTTCCTCTTGTACTATCACTTGTTACTTGGGAGAAGAGACCAAGAGCCACCTCTCTACAACATCCTTCCAGGTAGCTGTAGAGAGTTAGGTCTCCCCTCAGGCTCCTTTTCTCCAGGCTAAACAACCACAGGTACCTCAGCCACTCTCATAAGTCTTGTTCTCTAGGCCCTTCACCAGCTTCACTGCCTTTCTTTGGACACTCTCCAGCACCTCAATGTTAATGTCTGTGAAGAAGCTAGGAGGTATATGGCCATCCTTTGTTTTCACTAGGGGCTGATTTACAGTTTAGAGAAGCTTACTTTACCCCACCCAGGAGTACAGCATCCAGTTCTCGGGTCCCCCACACAAGAAAGACATGGAGCTATTAGAGCAAGTCCAGAGGAGGGCCACAAAAATGGTCAGCAGGTTGGAATACCTCTCTGATGAGAAAAACCTGAGAGAGTTGGATTTGTTTATCTCAGAGAAGAGAAGGCTCTGGAGACACCTTCTTGCAGCTTTTCATTATGTAAAGGGGACTTATAAGAAATACAGAAAAAGAATTTTTGCCAAGAGCTGCAGTGGCTGGAAGAGGGTAGAATTAGATTAGATATGTAGAAGAAATTTTTTACAGTGAGCTTGGTGAGAAACTGGAACTGGTTGTCCAGATAAGTTGTGGATGTCCCATCTCTGGAAGTGTTCAAGGTCAGGTTGGACAGAGCTTTGAGCAACCTGGTCTAGTGACATATGTCCCTGCCAATGCAGGAGGGTTGGAACTAGATGAACTTTTCCATCCAACCCAGATTATTCTATAATTCTATGAAAAAATGATAGGTAGAGCAGGATCTTTCAGCTCAACAACACTGCTTTTCACAGCAGTTATCCCTGGGGAGCCCCTATACAGGTTAGTGGCTGTTACATGAATGAAACTGTGAAGTCTTGGAATCTGTATTCTTGTGAAGATCTAAAGCACTGTTGAAAGTAAATGGTTGGTAACAGGCAACTACTGGGAGCAAGAGCTCAGAGGTCAACATGTGGAATAAACCTAGAGATCCATGCTTGTTTATTTAATTTTTCCTGTAATCCCACACAAGTAATTTAATCTTCTTGCTTCAGTTTTCTGTCTTTTGAGAAACAGAGATGATTTTATACATGGGATGAAACCCTAAAGCCTTATCCAAACCCCACTGAACACAATTTGATAATCTTTCATTGTTTCCAGTGGTCTGGAGACAAACCCTGCATCACTTACCTTATGTAGAGGTTTTTTTCTGTGTCACTTGTGAAATCAGCAGTTTGTTGGTTCCATTTTACCAGCTGCTAGATTTGGTCTTTCTTTTTACTTTTTCATCTATTTCTCTGTGTTTGCATGTACTAACTGATACACAAAGTTCCTCACGAGGAAGATTCCTAGACCTGAGTCTAATATCAGATGCTTGGTGCAAAATCAGGGGGTATGTATTCGTGCTCAGCTTGTTGTAGCTGAATGGCTCCTGCTACCATCTTCAGCAGCAGTAAAATCACAAGCCAAAGGCATGTTTTGGTGCATGCTTTGATATTGCATACCCTGGCACCTGTACTGGTAGTCCAGGAAAGGAGAAAAGGCCTTGCTTCCCCCCTCTCTGACACTGCTTTCTGACTCTGTGCTGCCTGATCCTTGTATTTTAGTGCAGGTAATTGTAAGGCTTCTGAAAGAGCTGACCTGGGAAGCTGCCTAGGGAGAGTGGGGCTGCTTCTGTAAGTGCCCATGCCTTTTTATAGCTGATTAAAGCATTTTTGAAGCAGCTTGCTAGGTAACTCCTGGTGTATATGTTAACAAGACACAGAAAATCATCCTGTCTTCCTTTTTAGCTTCTAGGACAATGGCTTGATGTAAAAAACTGCTGTGCTGTTACAATTCTGTGAATTGTCAAGAGGAGTAACTTGAAAAGTTGTGGAGCAAGCAGAATTTCAATGCACAGCAGGTTCCCTGTCTGAATCTGCTTCATGCCATAATCACCAGCGTCCACTTTCAAATCCCTTTAATGGCTTTTAAGGAAAGAAAAGATACATTATTTGCTTTCTGTCTAAACACATGTGCTTTCCTGTTCTTTTTGAGGTTGGGGGGAGGTGGAGAAAAAAGCTTAACAACGCATTGAATGTCAACTAGTTTTTATTTTGAAGGAAAAGCAAAGATACATACCCTGAAGTAGCCAGAGTTTGTAGGCAAAAGTAGTATCTTTCATTAAACTAACTACTAGCACTGGGGGACAACAGAAAAGCTTTCAGACACACATTTTTCAGGTCTGAAGAAGTTAGTTGTTTTTTTTTTCAGCCATATAGATTGATTTAATTAAAGACACTACATTCCTGGTTTCACTCCCTTATGTACAGGCAGCCATGTGTTCATTTTTTTGGGAGGATTTCCTGTTTATTTGGTTTTGTCTTTGTATTTTTCCTTCTTCCACTCTTTTGTGTGACACCTCCTCCAATTTTGTAGCTGAATAGTAAGTACCCCATGGCTAAGAATGGTCTGGATTATGGTGTCCAACTGTTTTCTACGGGTAAGGTTCTGTTCACTCCTTGTTCCCTCCTGCCCTTTTTCCCCAAAGAGCCCTCAGGCCTGGGCAGAGGTCATAGTGGGAATTAACTGCTCTGGCAACCCACCTCACTCCCTGATACCCTGTTTTGTGAGGACCAGGTTTTTTTGCTGTTCACATCAGCCATCATCACCACTTGCCTTTTGCCCACACCAGGCACAACACAGTGTGCACCTCACAGCACAATCAACAGCAGATGTTGGACCTTGGATTTTGGTTGTATGGCTGATGGACATTGAGGTGTCAGCTGGAGCAGGACGAGGGTCTATGAACCTGAAGTACCTCCATCAGTCTGAAAAAATATTTAGAAGAGGCTGAACCTTGTCTGTTTCTCCTTGTGCCATTCAGGAGTACAGCCCTGCCCCTTTTCTCACAAGGACTGATTCTTGGCTGTTAAAGAGCACACCTAGTTTAAAAGAAAACCCAGGAAATGGCTGATATTATTTTGCTCATTATTAAGAAAGGAAGTGGAAGAATGGTCATTTCTAAGCTCTCCTGAAGTTGTTCCTGTAAGCTTTGGAGTTGATCTTTCCTACTGGAAACCAAACATGTATACTGATATCGTTCATAGATGGGCTAAGAAATTTTGTTTAGGGTCAGAGAATCTTACTTGGCCTACCATGGATATCCTTAATAGTTTAAACTCCAATTACAGTTAATGATGACCTGAGAAAGAAAGCATTTAGCTCAATTGCTTCAAGAAAATTAACAAATGAATACACACAAAATATAAAATTCATAAGAGTCCTGTTGCTGTTATTTTTTCCAGCCTCTTCTCTCCTGGATAGGCTGCTTTTGAGGCTGAAATTACCTCATTTAAATGAATTTAGGTATCTACAACAGTGCAGTATGTAGTATTAAAGTACTCTGTGACTTAATTTATAGCTCTGATACAAAAAAACTCCAAACCTTTATCCCAAATAAAGAATAGTCCTGTATTCCTTTGTTTAACCAAGTCCCTTCTGAAATGTAAATATCTTGACAAAAGCTGTTGTCTTGAAGATTGTCTATACTTACACTACCTTTGCATCTATACTAATTATCTTTAAATTTGGGAGTACATTCTCATAATTATGTGCTTATTTTCCAGCTGCTTCTAGGTTTAAAATACATTTATTTACAAAAAATAACATAATTTGGAATTCAGTTTTCCAATCAAAGAATCATTAAGTCATAAAGCTCTATAACCAGTACTTATTTTATCTTTGATAACATAACATGAAATAAATTATTACAGAATCCTAAAGCAAAATGATTTTTGTAAGCTTTATTCAAAAGTCAGAGCTGTCATCAGAGTTAGAACCAATAAATGTGTTCTGATGACGTGGGAAGTATCCTTGGAGGCTTGGATCCCCTGGCTAAGAAGCAGCAAAGATTTCTGAATGTGCTTGAATATTTCATCAAGTGTCTGGGGAAACAAACATGCAAGCTACCATACTCTTAAAACATTGGCATGAAAGTGTGATTTGTAAAATTCATTAGTGCCTAAAGAAAATCACTGTTATAATGTATAAATGCAGTAACTGTAGCAATTACATTTACATCAGTACTGAGGCCTTTCCTACCCAGCATGAAGATACAGGTTGCAGCCTGTGTAGCTAAATCAGCTGGATTCACTAAAAATCAGAATCACTCTATGGATTCTTCAGACCTTTGATAGATGACTGTGTCTGTCTATAGCTGCTCTCACCATAAGCAACTTTTTAAAACATTCATGTTGCCAACACAGTAGTCCTTTTGTTCACAGCTGCTTTTTTTCTTTCAAAAAAAATCTATTTATGTGCCCTGGATTTATCCTAAAGGAGGTGTTGTTTATAAATGAGCTGCAGAAGTGAACATTTTTTAGAGAAGTGAAAGCCAGGCAGTTGGCTGTATGTAGACCAGCATTTCTTCATCTGCAAATGACTCACCAGAAAGAGACTGAAATGTTCATAATGACTTGTCACTCTCCTGTCACCATTTCAAATATGTCTCCTTTCTTTTCCAAGGCAAAGGTTTATATGATTGCAGCAGGGGTCATAGGAGGTGTGTATCTTCTGGGAATTGTAATTCTTTTTCTTGGAGTAAAGGAAAGAGATGGTAAGATATAGCTAAATATGCCTAGATTTAATACTTGTTATTTCACATTCGTCTCTGGAAATGATGGTAACTTTATGTTTTCTGCTCCTTTTAGATCCTTATGCCTTTGATTCAGACAGAGCAATTCCTTTCTGTAAGGGGCTTGGACTCACCATGAAGCATGGTCCATATGTGAAGCTTACAGCCTCATTTCTTCTCATCTCGACAGCAGTTCAGGTAACTTCAGGCTCTCCAAGTCTGTGAGCTGCCCTCATTCCAGCCCCAGCATGGGAGAGCCCGTGGCAGCTAAAATGGAAATAACCTTTGGCTGGTGACTGGAGATGGTGATCTAGGGGGTGGGACCTTCCCCTACAAGTCAGTAGGGAACCAGAGACCTTTTGTGGTGCCTGGGGTCCTGTGCAACTGGAGATGATTCTTTTAGATGAGAGGCAAAACCAAAGTCCTGACCATTTAAAGCTGCCTTTTATTATTATTATTATTATTATTTTCCCCCATAAAAGGTGAGGAACCAGTCTTAGTGACCTAGATGGGGTCATTATATGTGATCTATCTACAGTCTCCTGTGATTTCAGTTGCTTAGAGAATGCCTTTTCTCTTCTCTCTGTTCTTCTCTATAGCATGTGCCTCTTTAAACTATTGCCCCTTTCCTTTGCATAGGTGACTGCTCTCAGGTAGTGGCTGAACTGGTTCTTAGGGAGCCTTGTGTAATGGAAGGCATCAGGTCAGAGTAAGATGATGTTCAGGGGCAGGAGGTCTTGTGTGTCTCTGAGCAAGACTGAGCTAATTTTCAAATGAGGACCTGCAGTTGGATGTGGCTCTTGCAAAAAGATACACTGTCCTCTCACAGAGAGAAGCTGTAGAAAAACTTGAGGCCCCATAGTCCAGCAGTCTTTTTAAAGCTTGTTTTTTCAGCCATGTGCAACTCAGTAAATATGTTGTTTTAATGTGAACCTGTACATATCAGTTTAAGTTTATTCTGAAAACCCAGTAGTATTCACATTTTGGTCAACAGACTCTTAGTCACATGAGGAATGATCAAGTGAGTATCAGGACAGTGGGCAAGAACAGGGCACAAAAGAGAGCAGCACTGTGTTCACCAGCAGGCCTGGTAAATTAGTAAGCTCCTTGGAAAGGCTGCTTAAAAGTCTCTTTGCCAAAGATCACAGAAGTTTCCTGTTGGCCTGGATTTGGGCAAAGTTAGGCTGTTCTTCACAGCATCTGTAACTCCTTGCTTGAAGGTCCAAGGGTGCAAAACAATAGTAGAGGCATTTCTGCTTAAATCTGGGTGCTGCAGGAGCTGTGAGCAACAGCAGAGACAGGAAGAAGGTGAGAGATCAGTTATGGTCCAGATCCTTCTAGCATCTAATCCCTCAATAAGGACGCAGTGCACATCTGGTTGCTGGCAGCCACCCCCCTGGAGTGGAAAAGGTCTTCTGTCAGACCATAGCTCTGTTTTTCTATTTGTACGGACTGAAGGGTGAGGAGGAAGCTGGAAGCTGCATTGATTTTTCTATTTGTACAGACTGAAGGGAAGGGTGAGGAGGAAGCTGGAAGCTGCATTGCTCCAGTTCAACCAGAATTAGCATATTCTGGTGCTCAGAACCCCACTGAGTTCTGCCAAAACACAGTGGCAGTGGCTTTGTCTGTCATTCTAACCCAGTGCAGCTAGATCCTCCCATCCAGTGAGACCCAAAGCTGCAAAGGTTGTGCACAAAATCATCAGTCAGCTGCATTATTACAGGAAGTTGGCATGAGTTTAACTGCAGCTGAAGAGTAACTTGTTTCAGAGTCAGACCTTCTGGTCAAAGATTTAGAGCATTGCTGTGGAACAGAAAGGGCAATTTCTTGCAGTGGTGTGCAGCTGTGGCCATGACAACTGCACAAGGCAATTGCAACATGGGCCATAAAGCCTTTAGACAGCATCCTCTCATTAGGCAGTTCCTGGTTTGGTCATTTTTAAGCTGTATTGGGTGTATAGTTTACCTCTGGCATGTTATTCCAGTGATAGCAGGAGAGTTTTTGCTTCCTTAAATGGTTGCAAAGGAGGAAAGACTGAGACTCCCAAACGCCTCATTTAACAAATCAGTCACCAGTTGTGTTTGGCTAGTATGGAATGTGATGTCATTTAGGTATTTTTAAATTTTCCTTTATTTTTTGTCTGTCACCAAATGCCTTGGATTCAACAGCTGGAGCAGAGCAACTTTGTCCTGTTCTGCACTCATGCTGCTGATCTACGCAATCACTTCCAGTATTTGGTGGTGACCATCTTGGTGAGTTGCACTTCTTTCCCATGTTTTTATCTGATAGCTTGTTCTCACAGGTTTTGGGCAGAAAATAACAGAAGGAGAGTTTTGTGTCTAGACAGATCTGTTAAGAAGCTGCACTAACTTTTGCACTGCCTGTTTAAAATAAAGCTTGTGCTCCCCACTGCACTTCTAAAAAAATAATGCTTTGGAGATTTTAATTCTTTCCTTGTTGCTTTTACCTGTAGTTCACTTTTTAATCCTATAAAGGGCAAAAGCTGCTGCCAGAAAGGAGGTCTGGAGTTTTAGTACCTTCTTCCCTTGCCTCAGTCTGATATGCTGAAAATTAAACAACTTTAATTTGTGTATTCATACACACGAGCCTTTTGGGCTGGGCAGCTTGCAAAGATAAATATTTAAAATGTCCAGAGATATGAAGATTCCTCTCTGGAGCAATTGGCAGTGTGAGAAAAAGATTCGTTTACAGAAGCTTTTTTTCTTGACATGCAGAGGTAGAATTCTGCTTGCTTAGATAGGACTTGCAACTCAGTTACTCACTGCTCCTGTACTGCATGTTTTACTTTATGATTATAAAATACATAAATAGGCACTGGGACAGGTTGCCCAGGAAGGTTGTGGCTGCCCAATCCCTGGAGGTGTTCAAGGGCAGGTTGGATGAGACTTGTGCAGCCTGGTCTGGTGGGAGGTGTCCCTGCCCATGCAGGGGGGTTGGAACCTGATGATCTTTAAGGTCCCTTCCAACCTTCACCATTCAATGATTCTGTGATTGTAAGTAGTATTAGTTGAAAACTGCCATTTTCATCCTTTTGACCAAAGTCCTTTTAACACAAGCAGAACATTGAATGTGGCATAATTGCTGGGATGTGCAGGTACTGCACTTCTGAAATATTTTGTAGAGGACTTACCTACCATATAGAATACTACAGCAGTCATTTTCAGGGAAGCAGCTGCAGGATTTCTGACCCATTTGTCAGAGACTTCGTGGAACCATCTTAGGGGAACTTCATTTCCACTTCTTGGTCCCAGCCTCCCACCCTTTCTACTCCTTTTCAATTCTTCCTTTCCCACATAAGAAGGCAGATCTTTTTCAATTATCAAAACAGAAGTGCTGGAGAGCAGGGGATGACTGTTGTGTGTCTTGAGGCTCTGCAAGTAATGGACATGAAGAAGAGAGATAAGAGACAGTAGAGTTAAAATCAGAAAAGAACAGACTATAACTGTAAAAAGGAGATAACATCTGAATTTAGGGTAATTATAAGACTGTAATTAGTAGCAATACTTCAGAGCATCAGTACTACGTTGCCGGTAGTTGTTGCTGCAACCAGGTGAACATTACAGTGTATGAAATGGTAATGTCATCTGTGAGAGACTATTTCATACAATGATAGAATGCTTTGGGTTGCAAGGGACCTTAAAGATTATCTAGGTACCACCCTCCTGCATGGGCAGGGACACCTTCCACTAGACCAGGTTGCTCCAAGCCCCATCCTACCTGAAGGTGAGTGTATCTTGTGCTTCAGCTTTCTTCCTGTGCAGTGGGATGCTGCTTAATTCACTTACAGTTTGTCAGTTTCAGATAATGAGGCAAAAGGCATTAGCACCAAGTATGACTATTTGAAACATGTTTGAACTTTAATGACTGGGTCTTGCATAGCTTTAACTGCTGTGGATTACATTAGGAACAGGAAATTTTAACACACTGCAAAAAAATCAAAGGATGAGGAGAAACAGCCACCTGCAAGTTCACCCTCCTTTGATACTGTACTAGACAAAAAGATACCTGTGAGTTCTACAGCTGAAGAAGACAGTGGCAGTAAGCACAGCACAGATGGTTGTTTGTTTTATGTCAATTGTAGGTATCAGCAGCTGTGAGCATTCCCTTCTGGCAGAAGTTTCAGCAGAGGTTTGGAAAGAAGTGTGCAGCATGTGGGATTTCGGTAAGCAAATCCCTGGGTTTGCTTGTGGTCACTTCGTTTGACAACTTGAGCTACTTCAGGAGTTCTTTCAAGTACTTATAACCTCAAGCAACATGAAATCTGCTCCTTTTAAGAGTTTGGTTTAAATTGTTACATCAAATTTCAGACAGATTCCAAGTTCCCATGCAAAACTTTTGAGAAATGGATTGATGCTGAAGGGAGGTTCTCAGTTCATTTAAGAATCTGCAGAAGCTCTGCATGTGGCTGCTCTCAGAAGTGAACCCCAAAGAGGTTTTATAAACTCAGATGTGTGTTGCCTCAGATTGACAAGTTATCTGTTATATAAGGCTTGTTTTGTCTTGGTAAACAGTGCTTAGTTGACAGCATCTGTAATTCAGTCACAGAGGAGGAAACAGAAGTCTGTTACACGTCTTTCTCTAGAGATGTAAGAAGGCAGGGTGCCCACATCCCTCTGAGTGGAGATGGACAGTTAGTGAAGTAAAGAAATAGGTGACCTACCTGAGAAAAGAAGCCTATTTTAACTTTGACACAGCTCTGCAAAGCCAGCTCAGCGAGCCTGCCCTTGTCTCTGATGGATTATTTCAAGTCCTTCACTTAGTGCAGACAGCAGCAATTTTCTGTCATCATCCTCAGTGAGTCATTGTATAGACCTAGTCCTCCCCATTTCCCCCCTGTTTACCTTCAATTACTGATGAAAGAGGAAAGAAAAACTGCCTGCCTTGTGCACAACAAAGCACGAGGACTTGGAAAGTCTAGCCTGAAGCTGTATGTCAAAATCTGAACAAAGCTGAGAAGTTTAGGTCTGGTGGCAATTGTTGAATATAATTGAGCAGTTATCATTTTTGGAAATAAAATTTGTGTGTTGGGATGACTTCCAAAGAATCTGAAGTAACTTTAAACCCCAAGTTCCAAATGTGCTGAATTGTTGTGTGTTTTGAAGTAGGCATCTGGAATCCAAGTCCTACCCTCATTTCTTTTTACCACTTGAGCAAAGAGAATTGCCAAAAGCAGTATTGGACCATGACTGCACAGGGAATGCAGATTCCCTCTGTAGGAAATTTCCTTCTCTGTCTATTTGGCTATGAAAAATGCTGTCTTCAACCAACTTGGCTCTATAAATTTAGTTTAACGTGACTGGAAAGCCTGTCAGCACCTCTGTAAACACGCTTTAACTTAATTTTACAGTTGAGTTGCTTGACTGTATTTTAGTCTAAGTGGGGGCTGGGATGAAAAAAAGCCACCTCTCTATTTCACCTTGTAGACATTTCTCAAGGGACTCCGTGTGCTCAGTGATGGATTTTGTGACTGGTAATGCATCACAGGGGCTTCCTATCCTACCACCTTGTGTGATCCATGCAACTAATCTGTTCTCTCTCACTGTGAAAAAAAAATCACATCATTTAGGACTCCTTTGTTTGTCACTGGGGAATCTCCTTCTGGAAAGGGAAGAAGACAGGGAAGAAAACAAGGGTTTTTTTTTTCTCCAAAACCTTACCCAGATTTCAAAGTGAAAATCTAATTTGAAATTCAGTTTTCTGAAAAAAAAAATATTCACACTTCTCCAGACTAGTTTTTTTGCTGTTGAAGAGCCCCCTGAAAAAGTATAGAAGGCAGGATAGGTAAATAACTAACAAGAATCTTGGCTTCCTTCTACTGATACTGCTCCCTCTTTACCCATTCTTCCACAAAAGATGACCAACAGTTCAAGTACTGACTAAGTATCTAAACTTCCTAGAAGTTTAAAGCCTAGACTTTCTGGATTTACAGGGTCATACCCAGGCAGGATCCTTGATAACATTCTTCCCAAGATCAGGTTGGTGCACAGGCTAGAAATTACACTTTTCTGTTCATTTTGTCCTGCTTACAAGTGCTGTGTTCCTTTAGGTTGTTTGCTGTGCCCTCACGGGGCAAAGGTTGAACTTGCAATCAGTAGTTCTCTCAGCTGGTAACTGGAGGGGAAGTTGCCATGAGAAATTTCAAGCGTGGCAGCTTGTTGGTTCATGGTTTTGGCAAGGTGTCTCAAAGTGGAAGATCACTCTCTTTCACAACTCTGGCTTCCATCCTTGCTAATAATAAATTTTGGCTGTGTTTTTCTTGCAGGATTTAGTAAAAAATAACAATTACAAAAATAATCAAACAATGCCCCAATCTTTTCACCTCCCCACACGCTGCAATTGTTTATTTGCCACCTGTGCAGCAGGGAGGCAGGCCCTTGGCTGAATCCTGGCTGTGCAGCCCCTTTTCCACTCTCCCATCCCTGTTTCCACTCCCATCCTATCTGCATCTTTTCCTCCTTTGCCCTTTAGAGATGCATTAGCTGTTCTATTGCAGCAGGAACACTGGCCCCATGGTCACGCTACCCTTGCCTGAGTGAGACTTCAGGGCATTGTAGCCTCAGCCCTGCAGGCTGAGCTCCTCTTTCAGGAGCAAATTACAGTTACAGTGGTTATTATTATTATTGATCTAGAATTTTGTTTAAGTGCTTTGGTTTCTGAGCGGGTGCTTCATGTGGAGCACAAGGCAGTCATAAAGCTGCTTATAGGCAACATAAAATCCTGTATTGCTGGAGTGCTCTCTTGTGGTGAAAGGACAATTTTGCCACAAGATTGCACTCTAATGCAAGGATTATCTGCCCCTGCTGGGAACCTGCAGTCAGGAAAGGTTATTTTCTGCCTCCTTAGGCTAGGAGCAAATGCTTTAGATTGGAAATGCATTTAAAACATAAACATAATGGATTAGACTCCAGGACTCCCAGAATCACTTATCATACAGAACTGTAAATAGCAGTGCTTAGGGGAATCACTCTCTGTGAAAGCTCTTCTCATGCCCTCAGCTCCCAAGCTGCAAGTATAGAGGATTGAAACACTTAATGTTAAACTAATCCCCCACCATTAAAAAGCTCTGTAGATAAGCCCTTGCTTCTGGATTCTACATGTGCTGTGCCCATGGTTCCCAGGCGTGGGAGGTGGAGCATGTGATGGGCACAGGACAGCTGGCCTGCCTGCATTCAATCAGCATTTTAAACAGTGGATTTTCAATCCTCTAAGCCCATCGATTCAAGTTGAAGTTGAGAAAATCTGGTGGGTTTAAGTACTGCCAGAAAACAAATCCTGAGCCTCTCAGGGTAGTTCGGTTTTGAGGGCAGCCTTAGAGACTTGTGCTCTGTCGTGAGCGTATCTGGCTGTGTGGAGTGGGAGGAAACCACACAGCCTTCCTGGTTTTGGTTATTGCCAAGAACCCTGATGCCTTTAAAGCTGTCACGGTAAATGAAGGTGTGAGCAAACTCCTCTTCCTTCAAAATTCAAAATGATCTGTAAAGCAGGATATTTACAGCTTAAAATTACCATTGAACCCTGGCCCCTCCCCTTGACATGCACTGATGCTGTTTCAAGACTTTGTCTCTAATACTTTATTTAACAACTTGAATTAAATAGTTCCACTGGCCTAGAATAGAAACTGGTGTTTGGTCAACTCTGTCACTACATTGCCAGAAAAATCTTAGCAGAAGCTGATTAGCAATCTTCCAAGAGGTATCTGGGCACAGTTTGGGTACTAGCTCACTTCACATAAAAGCTTCACACTTCACACTGGCTCTTCCCATGAAATAATTTATATGTTTAGGAGTATGATTGTGACCAGGGTTTGTCACTTTGCCTCATGACTGATAAATAGGGTCTTGTTTAATTTACTAGTGGTTACATCAGAGAAGGCACTAATTGAAATGCCTTGTCCCATTATTCTGGGTAGATAAGTACAGATTGTCTCAGGGTTCCTTGGAAATGCCATTTCAGCAAGATGCTGAAGTGTTTGGTGTTGCTGTGCTTGAACTGTTTCATCACACAATCTTGTATTTGGAAGGGAACAATGAGCAGTGCATACTGTAAGTGAGACGTACTGTTTTTCTTCTTCCTCAGTGGATGATTCCTTTTGCAGTCATGCTAGTGACTATTCCAAACGTGATCCTGGCCTACGTCGTGGCCTTTGTCTCTGGTCTGAGCATCGCAGCATCTCTTCTGTTGCCATGGTAGGTGAGTCTTACATTTGAGGTGGTGTATGTCTACATTGCATGTCTGTCTGCATGGAATTTGCTTCCAAAAGAGGCAGAATTTGGCAAGAGTCACTTCTTCCATTAATCTCTTTCTGCTTTTTTAACAGAGACTGTTTGCAATGATGTGACTTTTGTTGCCCTGTTCTTAACACATTACATCTGCTGTTACTGCTCTTTGTACCCCACAGTATGTAGATGAATCCATAATCTAAGTAGCTGTAAAACTTGTGATAACAGTAAATCAGTTGCTTAGCTTTGGTTTCTAACAGAACTGCAGTAATGATAAACTTAAATAAATCAATTAATGCTCAGCAATTAAGAAAGTAGCAGAGGAAATGTAAGCCAGGATATGGATCCCTGCTTGAGGAGGCCTCTGTTATAAATCAAATGACCCAAGGATATGATTAAAAGAAACCAAGAATTTAAGGTCCTTTGCTCATGAGGACTGAAAATATGTGGGAAAAGAATACTCAAGGATGAGCAAGATGGGACATTTCCTCTCCAGAGGAAATTATTATTATTCAGGTCAAATTGACCAGAAAACAAGACTGTTGCTGAAAGTTGTTTTGCCTTGCTCATTTGCACAATGCCCTGAAAACTCCAAGAGATCATGGAAACATAGTTTGAAATAAGCTGTCAGACTACATAAGCTTTTCTGCACAGAAGGTGAGAAGCTCTTTTTTCCAACAGTAAATCATGACATATTTTGGAAATAAAAAGTTGATTGACAATTGACATTTGAGCAGTTTCCATTCTGATTCCCCATCACCAAATTCAGTCTCTTTGAAGTAGAGATGGAATAGGCCTCATTGATTGTTGAAAATTTTGTTAGCTTGTCAAAAGAGTTATTTCAGAGTGAAACTATTCAGAGATTCAGAGTCCCTTGAAATCTTAAGAAACATGTTTTGTTGTTCTTTTTTTAATACCACAACTTCTGTTTGGAATGACAGTCAGTCTAAAGAATTCTGTCACCTCCCAGCAAGTGTTTTATAGTTTTTCAGCTGGTTTTCTACTTTGCAATACTTGGCCATGTGTTTCCTACATGGATTTTTGCCCTCGTGCTCAGCAGTGGGACTTTTCGAACTGAACTCTTTCATGTGCATGACTAGATCAAGCAGAATTTAAAAAGGGAGGAGGGATGTACTCTGTTAGTAAGTTTGGACTTTGAGAAGAGGTTTGGTGTTGAGTTTTTCTTTTATCTTGCTCCTCTCCAGGTCGATGCTGCCTGATGTTGTTGATAACTTTCGCCTGCAGAATCCTCATGGAAAAGGACACGAAACCATTTTCTATTCTTCTTATGTTTTCTTTGCCAAGATGTCAACAGGAATTGGCTTAGGAATTTCTGCAGGAAGCCTGGAGTAAGTAACACTGTGTTTCCTCTTAGTAGATGTGCTCTGAAAGCATTCTGAGGTTACTTCACCTTTACCCTGTGGAGTTAATTGCCTTTTTGTCCTGAGCCTCAAAGTGCCAGCAGCTCCAGATGGCTGACCACTAAAGATGGGATTGTTATCATCTAGGTCAGACCACTGAGCATTGTTATGTTTCAGTACAGAAAGACCTGAGTTCCCTTTAGATTCTCCTCTTTCCATATTGCTGAAGTAAATTTTATCAGCTTGTATGAATAAAGAACTAAACCTGTATGCTCAGGAGATGAAGGCTCCTCACAAACGAACCAGCTGCTTTGTGCATTCCCTGTTGCATCTGGGTTAGACTCAGTATCATGGAATGGTTTTGGTTGGAAGGGACCTTTTAAGATCATCTAGTTCCAACCCCCCTACGTGGTTAGGGGCACCTCCCACAAGACCAGGTTGCTCCATGCCCAATCCAACGTCCAGGTGGGGTCTCAGAGAGCAGAGCAGAGGGCAGAATCCCCTCCTTTGCCCTGCTGGCCATGCTGCTTTTGATGCAGCCCAGGACAGTGTTGGCTTTCTAGGCTTCAAGCACACATTGCCAGCTCATGTTGAGCTTCTTATCAACTGACAACCCCAAGTCCTTCTCCTCAGGGCTGTTCTCAATCCATTTTCTGCCCAACATGTATTTGTGCTTTGGATTGCCCCAACCCAGGTGCAGGGCCTTGCACAGTGAGCCTGTAGGTCTTTACATATATTGGAGTGCTTTCAGGGGTGCCTGGTGGCCTGTTCAGCATAAAAGGTTCACCAGTTCCTACATGGTTTTAGGGAATTGGACACTGGTCAGAGTCAGGAACAGTCTCTTTCTCACAGCTCTGCCCATCACCTAGAAGGGGTCAGTTTAGAAAATGCTTTATGTTCTCCTTCCATTTTTGTCTTGTCTATTTTGACTAGACAGGTTTCAAAGTGGTCAGCCATCTCCTGCCCTGTTTTGCTCATGACCTAACAGAAAAGGCTTTTGCCTGTAGCTGCTACAGCACACAAGCACACAATAAACACTTATGAAGAACTTGCCTGAAATACTATCTAGCCGTTGGCTCCAAGTTAGGTTTGGGTAACCAGAATGTTTTGCTTCAGGGCCTTCATCTGGAACTCCTAAATAACAGGCAGTGCTTGGCTGAACATTTTGGGTTTAGGAATTTTAGATGTTTCCTGCAAACACCCTCAAACAAATGGCTGCTCACCAATTCACCCCTTTTCAATTACATTCCAGTTAGGTCCCAGCAATTTGCCAAGGCAGATATTTGTGGAAGAACACAGAAGAAAATGTGGGGAGAGGAAGGGAACCTTCAGATGAACAACTGCCTTTTAGCATTGGAGATACACACACCACTGTTCTTTCCATTTGTTTAGGTTTACTGGGTACAAGCCAGGGATATGCAGACAGTCCAAGGATGTGATCCTCACACTGAAGATCCTCATTGGAGTGGTCCCTGCCATCCTCATCCCTGTGGGTTTGTTTATACTTCTCTTCTACCCAATCACTGAAGAAAGTCGGAAGGAAACGAAGATTGCCCTCCAAGTGCTGAGGTAGGTTTGGACTGGCAACAAACACCAGTCACATCACCACAGCAGCTCCTTGTCATGCTGGGCCAAAAATTACTAGCTACCACCATACACCTCTAATTACAACAGAAACACCCAACACACTACTAGTTGGAGTGTTAACTGAATGGTACCATTACCAAACGCTCTAGTATCTTATCTTTGCAGTGTGATGCTACCTGCTTAGAGGACCATTTATCAGATATATTGGCTCATATAGCTTACTTTTTTTTTCTGGGGTGGCACACAAAGCACTGCTGCTGTGCAGTGTTTCAAGCCAGATTCAAAGAATATTCTACAAAGATTAAATTTCTGGAGAAAATGTGAATAGTTACAATTTACTGGTGTATAGAAGAAAATGAGATTCTTGACTGCATTCTTGGTGTTTGTGGCATATGAGAAACATCCAAACTCTTCAGAGGCGTAGGCAGAAAAGATTGTGGGAGAAAAAGAAAGGACAGCTTTGGGCTGTTCTCTCCTTTTTTGCCCTGTCACTCTCCTTTCCTCCCATTTCCTCCCTCTCCAAAGAAAGTCTTGCCTAGCTCAAAATCACCCACCTCTATCAAATAAAACTTTGGTATCCTGAGGACATTCAGAAGAGCAATCTGTCCTAGCAGGTCGATGGATTAAATATAAAAATAAGTTGCTGCTCTGTCTCTTTTTTATTATCCCAATTTTACTAGAGTTCAAATCTGATTTCTGTGTGAAGGGAACAATTCCAGGGTCTAAGCATGGGTATCTGAGACCAATTTGTTTCCACAAACAGGTTGGTAGGTCCTCTTGGGTACCAGCTGCTTTCTTGAGGGGCAGCTGCAGACCAGAGGGGACAGCCTAAACAATCTGAAATGGGACTGGTCCCTCTCTTTAGGTATTTTAATCACTGCCCATAACCACCACCCTTTGCTGGTGGTTCTCAGAAGTTTGAGATGGCCAAACTGTAGCTTGATGAGTAGCAAGAGAAGCCTGTTTATATATAATTTGTTCTGCCTTTAACAGAAGGAGCCATCAAAGCACAGAGAACCTGGATGATCACAAAGAGGACACCTTGATCTGAATGCTCTGAATGCAGTGACTTTCCAGATACAGCCTCACATCCCATGCACAAAATTTGTGACAATCTTCTGGGTCACTTCTCTGCTCACACTTTACCAAAAAGGATAAAGGATGTTTCTGACACAGTCAGTAATGAAATCAAGAGAGGAAACCACCAAGCAAAATCTTTTCTAACTCCATGCACTGTGCTAAAAAAAAATAATCACAAAAGGTCAGGAATATAAGCTGAAGGCTTGGTGGTTTTTTGTTTGCTTTTCAGTAATTAACAGAGAGCTGTGATCTCACTGCAAGAAATGTTTCTAAGGCCTTTTAGGTCAAAGGAAACAAAAGCTTATATGTGATGCACCACCCAAGCTTTAACTCAAGTGATAAATTTCAGCCTTGGAGGCTGAGGTGGCTTTTGAACATAATCTCTACCTATAAATTGCACACTAGTATGTTTGGAAATCACTTGGGAATGCTGAAGGTATATACTTCAGCATCCTAAACTTAGGGTTTGCTTTGTTTTGAAATGAAGCAAATCTTTGATGTAGACATGTTTTGAGTATTTTCTCACAAAGAGTTTATCAGAAATAGGTATTGATGTAATTTAACTTTATAGATTTTATATGAAACAGAACCTTACATCTCCCATTACTGAATTTCCTTGCTTCTGAAACCTCTAAACTGATCTTTGTCGGAGAACAAGTGCTTAACATTTTTAGAATCAACACATCCACTCAGGATACCCCACATCAGTAGTGCCTTCCAAAAATCAGACTCTGCCATTCAAATTTCTGTAAATTTTGGCCTTTAAGTAATCATGACACTCACCCACTTCCCATGTGGTGTAGGGTCTCTGCCTCACAAGACACCACAGTGTGGCTGTTAATCTCAGCTTGCACACAGTGCTTTATAGTCATGAGGCTACACCTGACTTGGAAATGGGGATTTCTTTTTGGTCAGAGATGTCATCATGCTTTAGATAAATTGACTGAGTCCTCATTACTACTGAGGTACATTCTACATTCACACTGCTGAACATGTTTTGTAGGTGAAGGACACACGTAACCTCAGGGACTTTCAGGAGCACTTAAGTTCAGACCTGCTCATTCTGGGCTGCTTCTGTAGCCAGTGGAGATACAGGGACCTGCAGAGGTTGGCTCCAAGCTTGAGCTAGAATGTCTGAACACTCAAGTCATAGCTAAATCTGCAGGGGGGAGTGATGAATCCAAGAGTTGGAGGCTTGTTCACCCTGAAGAAATGAGCACACTGCGAGAAGAGACACGAATTTACAGTTCACTGGCTTCACTATAGGAGCCTGTAGGAGAGTGCCTTTATTTTGTACTAGAAGTGCCTTTGGAGGATGGCCTTGCCACTGCTCAGGAGCACTTGCAGTAGGTGTCACTGGACACAGTGACCACAAGTCATTTGCTCAGGGCCATCAAGAAAGTGACTCAGTCCTGGGACTGGAAGCTGGGAAAACTTTTACTGAAAGACACTGTGAAGTAACACCAGTGCATCCACTGAGCATCTTGTGAAGTCTGACACTGAAACCTTTTCAGGCAAGTTTGAAGTCTGAGGCCTAATGAACTGTCCCAATTCAGCAGAACAATCATGAGTGAGCTTTCAAGGATATATTTTGAGTGTGCATGGGTAAGAGCTAACCCTGTTTGAGACTTCTGTTGAACTGACAGCTAAGGCTGGCTGAGGTGGTTTTGGTTTTTGTTCTTGGACAAATCAAGGTTTGTATGCCTGGGGCATATGTGTTTACAACAATAAAAACCAGAAACCTGTTTACAATTTTGAGTCTGATGGAATCTGAAACAGATATTCTGCACTTTGAAGTAGGTAAGTGAAGTAGTGCTGTCACACAGCTCCAGAACATCAGAGAAAACAGTTTGGAGGGTTTGATTTATTCTGTAATATTTGCATATTCCTGAACAGTCTCCTTTAAAAACAACCAGAAGTTCTAGTAAAGGCTGTGAATGTTTTTGAATGGGGTTATGTTTTCAGCTGCTATGAATCTGTAGCTACAAGGCAGTGGATCTGTGTCAATTTACATAAGCTGAATGCTCAGCCCAGTGATAAAAGGGCTGCAGAAACTGCTGCCAGGGGCTGATCAGAGGAATTGGAATGTGGCTTAAGATACTATTTCTAGATCGGTTGTGCAGCTGCCTCTCAATTGCACAGCACCCAACATGGATTCAGGCTCTTGCAAGGTGTATTTGTTGACTGTAAATTGTTTTCTCTGGAGAGTCAATGTGATATTTATCTAACAGAGGTGGACTCAGTTCTCACGTTGTGTATGGTGGCAATAAGAGGAACTGCCAAAATCAGCTTCCATAGATCAAATGTAGCAGAGTTTTGAAAGTTTCAAATACTTTGAAATATTGTATTTGATTATCAGAGTTGTACTTTTGTTAAGAAAATGTATTTTTCTAAAGTGAAAAGAAGGTAAGAAGGGTAAGTGCAGGGTAAGATGTTTTTGTAATTTTATTTTCTTAGGGTTGGGTGTTGGTGCTGCAAAATGAACAAACTTTGCATGTTTGTATGTTCAAAACTTGGGTTTGAATGCTGTGTGCCTTATTTATGTTCAGAACATGTGACTGAAAGAGATTCTTATATTGAGAACCATTCAGATTAAATGCTAATCTAATTAAACCTCCTGCTGTGCACTGATTGGCCAGGTTCAATCCCCAGGGGCTCTCATTTAAGTAATACCCAAACACAGTTGTAAGAATATGGGAGATGGGATTAAAACAGCTGGCTGCCTAATGGGCAGCACCTCCCCACCTGCACGCAAGCAGTTCCAACAAATGGGTTGACACAAAAAGAGGAAGAAAAGGATAATGGAGTTGGGTGTCTCTGGGTCATCCCCCCTGAGGCAAACCATGCCCATCCCTTGCCCCTCCCTGCTGAAGGGTGGTGGTGGCAGCCTGAGCCTGCCCTACTGGGCTGACTGCTGGTCTAGTCAGTAGCTGAGCTGGTCATCAGTCTTCTCTTCCAGCTTCATCCCCCATGCAGTCACAGAATCACCAAGGCTGGAAAAGACCTTTAAGATCATCAAGTCCAGCCTATGACCAACACCACCATGTTGGTGCACTAAGTGCCACATCCAGCCTTTCCCTGAACACCTCCAGGGACGGTGCCTCCACCACTTATCTGGGAAGTCCATTCCATAGTTTCTGCCTATAAATAATGCTGGAGCCTTCCAAGGTTATATCACCCTCCTGAGCTCACTGCTGCTGATCAGCCTCCCAGTTGACCCCCTGAGCTACTGTTCCCACCAGGCTCTGCAAGAGGGGTTGCTGGCAGTCACCACCACCAGCCCTGTCTCCTGCCAACCACCTTCTCCTGCCTTGCTCTACCTCATCTGCCCCTGAGCTTGCTGACCTGCCATGGCTTAGGGGGATTAGATCACTTGTGCTGAGTCCCCCACTTTAATAGGTGAGTGCTACCTCAGACATCTGTCCCTAGGGAGTCCCTGGAGGCCAGGACCTTCCCTGTCAGGTCACTGGGTTTTCAGGAAGGGCTCTGTGGATTTGAGTACTAATTCCTTAAGTCACTCCTGTACCTTGTAAGAACTGCTGCTAGGTTCAATCCCTGCTGCATCCTCTCATCTTTGTTCACCTTTCACACTCTAAATTAAACAGCTGAAGTGGAGAAAGTTTGTTTTAAAGACAAACCCTGCTTTTGTTTCTACTGTCCTTTCTGGGCTGCAGACAGAAAACACAAAATTAAAACAACCTTCTTGAGGAGTTTCCTTAAGGGGAACTCAGGTCCTTTAAGACCCAGTATTTGTTGTCCATCTCTTGGAAGGTGAGGAATAGAAGCAAGTTGGTTGAGTCTCATGCAGTAGGATACAGCTGGCAGCAGCCTGGTGAACAGTGTTCAATCACATACGTATTAGTTTCACATCATAGCTACGTAAAAAACAGTGTAACAATAGAGTCTTTCTCCTCAGAAAATTTCTCAATTGATTGATGAGGTCAGCTGGATTCATACAGCTGGCAGGCAAGGGAGGTAGTTTTGTTTTCCTACAATTTTTGGGGTCACAAGTTCCTCATACTGCCCTTAATGCTTTTTTTTTTTAACCTTCACTCTCAGCAAGACCATGGTTCAGATACTTAGCAAGGGTGCTGAGTATTATGGTTACAAAAATGTGTATCTGTCAGAGGATTAAAGTATGAAATCAGATAGCTTTCACATCATTAAGCACCAAATCTGCTGCACAAAACAGATGCTGGCTCTGGGAGGCTTCATTCAAAAGACAAAGAAGCAGCTCTGTCCCTGAGGCTTTTTGCTGTGTTGCACCTGAGAGTTCAGTCTCTGGAGGCACAAACTGGCATGACACAGAGCTGAAAAACAACAGGAAGGGAATGGTCCTGGAGTCGTGGCACTGCAGAAAAGGTAGATCCTCAGGATCATTTCAGAGACCTGTATGGGGCAGCAGGCTTTAACCCTAACTGGAGAGCAGCAGTGCTGCTGGATGGTGGGGAAACATGTCAGCTCTAGAAGTTGAAGCAGAAATAAATCTTATTTCCTGATCTATTTCGTGTCCCAAAAGATGTTAACAAGACTGAGTTTCAGCTGCAGCCTTCAACTTTCTGCTGCACTCTGCTGTAGACAGTGAGGAAGGATTGCCCAGGCCCCGATGGTCACTTGCTCAGCTTTGGCCATGGAAGAACACTCCAGAGACCCAGCATTCATCACCTGGCAGCTTGTCTGTGCTGAGGCACATGGAATTATCTACATGCAGCCAAGGATTAACAGGATTTCCCTCTCACCTTAGGATTCTCCGTCATGGACTTTCATCTTTGTTTTACTTAGGGGTTGTTTTCACCTGCCTAGGGCCAACTCAGGCCACCAGCTTGTCATCATGATGGTGCAACCTGGTCTAGTGTGACTTGCTTTTCCACAAGCTGCTGAACATCTTGCTTCCATTGGGATGTACCAAATAAACTCATTTTGCTTCCCTTGCACACACACCAGTTTTTATCTCAACCCCACGAGTCACTCCCCCATCATGCCCAGGGGAGTGAGCTGCCTCCTGAGCTCCCACTGCAAAAGAAGCCACTTCCCACCTCCATGCACAGAAGCAAGCCCAGAGATGTTAGTGATGGGCACAGGAGGGGAAAAAGGATCTTCCTTCTACACACTATGGATATTCCACTTTGTCCCAAACTCCATATACCTAAACTAGTGCTCACACCCTTAGTAACACCAGTGCAAAACCACGTGCAACTCCACAGTCACCACTTGTAAATAACAAGGGTGTAACACTTCAGGCTTTGGCAGAAGTGAGGAAATGGGGATAACGCAGCACTTTCAAGGGTTGCTTTATTATGCAGGTTTACTATCATCTAAAGCCACCAACATATTACAGACCAAGATGGGAACTTCAGCTCAGAAGCTTGTGAGAACACGTGTTTCCACTCACTGATACAAAGACCCAGTCTACAGTGCAACAGGCATATTAAAAAAACCAACACTGCTCAATATAAAACCAAGTTAATGTTTCCAAGGACCAAATAATTTACAGTGATATGCAACAAAAACATTATGGACTGTTCAGAATTTGCAGTCTTACACAGTGAGTGGTGCGACAGCCATGACAAAATCCACTGTCAAAAAATCACGTTACTGCTGGGCTTGTCCTGGAGGACTGCTGCTGTCTAAGGTCTTGGAAGAGCAGTCTCTGAGGACTTCCAAAGAACTCGTGATATCCAGGCTTTCAGAAGAAGTGGGTCTGCACCTTTCTGTGGAGCTGATGATGTCCAGCGTTTTGGAGGAGCGGGCACTGTAGCCTCTGGTGCTGGCATCTCTTACAACCACCTCCTGCGCGGGTGCGAATGTCAATGGGATGAAGCCTTCGCTGTCTGCTGTGAGGACAATCCAGGATGGACCTGTGGAGACATGGAAATGTCTGGTTTTAAGCCCCCCTGTGACTTGGTATGTTTAAAGTATAAACATACCTCCTCTAAAGTTAAATGCTTATGTGTGTTTACAGTCTTTCTAGGAAAAAAACAAACAAAAGAAGGAAGGATGGAGTCACGTAGGGTGGGTAACCCCAGAGGTAAAGGGCAGGTCACACCCACGTGAAACGGCTTCCAGACCTGAACCCAGGAGAGAGAAGACTGTAGCAAACACACACTTCAAATAAGAAGGAAGAATGACATTCTGAACAGAACTCAGAAGCACCCAGAATTTTTTTTTAATTAGGTATTCATGAGCTGCTTCACACTGCTTAAGCTGTGCAGATATTGTAAAAAGCAATTAAACTAAATGACAAATTTATATAATAAAAACAATTTAGAAGCTGCTTCTGTTATGTAATTTTGATACAAATAATTCCAATAAATACAAGGCAGAAATATTTCCTTATACTGTACAAACTCCATGTCTCTGATCCTTCTGCTATTTGACTTCACACCCTTTCACATTGTTTTCACAATTTGAAATTGTTTAATGAACGTGAAACACCAACTTCTTCCAACCTGTATAAACCAGAAAATGTTCATACTTGTATCCATTAAGTTAATGAAGAAACAAAATCAAGCTCATGTAGGGGGGGGGGTGTGAGGGAATCCAGAGAAACACTTCCAGCTGTTTGTAAATTTACATTATGTAACTTCATGTCACAACTAAGGTCATGAGAAGATTGTCGCTTCAAAGCACGCAGCCCTTTAATCTTTTGGTTTAACATCTCCTTTGGACCAAGCTTCAAATTCAGTATGATTAGGGAATTAGAAAACACCATTCCTAGTCTGCCCATTTATCTAGTGATATTTGTAAAATTCATAAAGAAACCTACTTTAAGGCTGTAAATGGTAAAACTTCTCAGTAAGGCTTGTCAGATGCGTGACAGTCACTGTTTCCTGGGCAACCTATTCTGTTAAGTTTACATTTTTAAAGCTAAAAATAAGAAGTCAAAACTAATGCAGGTAATAGGGACATTTTTTCCTGCCAGAAACTGTTCAAGTCTTATGGCTTAAAATAAAATTCCAGTCTGAAAAATTAAGATATCAACATCTACAAAACGGCCTACTGGAATCACTGAGTCTATCACACATTCCTGCCACAGTGTTATTAAAAGTCACTGTTTCCATGCATGTAGCTGATGCTGAAATAGGAAAACAACTAAACTAATGTAGAGAACCTTTTCCAAGATTCCTTCTGAATTATCTGACTACAGTTTTACCTAGGTATTGGAACATTCAACATATTCCAGCTACTTGAAGAAAAATAAAACTTGCACAATGGCAAGAACAGCCTTAGGGCTTTGGGATAGGTCCTCAGTAATCTGCAAGCAGGCAGACATAGCAGGTAAGAAACTAGCTGGAATAAAGTACTAGTACAGTACTAGTGAGAAATCATAACCCAAAAGTATGTTTTCTACCTTTGTCAACAATAAAACACTTAGAATTGACACAGTCACACAGGATGTGCATGGGATGAACAGGTAACAGCAGAGAAAACCATAGAAGTAAGAACTGTAGTTTTCTTCATAGCAAAAACTGGAGTGACATGCACTGCTAAGATTTACAGAGCTACTTCTGTGTTTATTAACAATTGCAGGATTTCTTAAAGGAGACCAGGTGCTGGAAGTACAGATTAAAATACAGAAAACTGTATTCCAAAACCAGTCAACTCTAACCTCCTCATTACTCAGACTTCTCTACTCACAGCAGCTCAAAACACAAACAAAACACTTGGTGATAGTAATTTTCATGTTGAACTACCTACTTGACAAGGGGTATCAATACATAAAAGTTTGCTTACTTTTTTTTTTTTTTTTTATAATGTAAGGGTTCTTCTCAGTAAAAACCCAGAGAAAAATCTTCATTACAAAACAAATTACTAAAACTTTTCTTAATAATCTTTCATCATTTATTCCTTGTTTGTGGTTTTTTCTTCCAGATGGGACTGTGCCCATTGCTACTGCTCACTGAGAATGTGCGACATGTGTGAAGTGTTTGTATTATTGGATAATGACAACATACCATGTTGCATTTCTACAAGGGAGAGATTGAATATCTGCTGGACTGTGTTGAGATGGAGTCTACCACCACAAAGAATAACAGCTCTCCTTTCATCTGAATCACTTCTGGAAAGCTGCTTCTGTAAATTCAAGAAATAATCGTTAGGTACCACGACGTGTATTTACGCAGAGATGTCAAAATGGCATTAGCACCTTCAGCTACACCACTTACAGAAAGTCAAATGCTACATTGGTTCAGACCCATTTGTCAGATTTTTACTTTAAAATCTCAGCTCTCAAAGAGATGATCTGTGAGTGACAGCAGCAAGTAACAGTGCTAATTCGGCACCTGTCAGAAGAACAGGACAGAAATCACACAGTGCTGCTGAAGAAACCACGGGCTTCATTCACAGCGCAATCCTGACTCCCAATCTGCCACCTCTGAGGGACATTTTCCTGGGAAGTCTGTAAAGCTGCAGGTTTTCCATCCTCCCCTTGCCCTGATCCACAAATTACATGAGGTGAGAACTCCTGCCCATGAATGTTTGGGACAAGGAACAAATTAGAAGGGCTTGTGTATTTTACCTCTCATCATCACTGTCCCAAGCCTTAAAATCAAAAAAAGCATCTTCAGAAAATACCCCAAGGGGGCAGAGCAAAGGAATTTTTAAATGTGCAGAAAATCAGTTGTTACCAAAACTACAAACTGTGTCTTTATCTAGGTTAAAATTCACACAACTATGTCACTTCCCAGGGAAGCCCTGATAACATCTCTGGGTCAAGACAAAACTAGCATAAAATAAATTCTGCCTCCATTTCCATGCTGTGTACAGACCCATCCATCCACAAGGAGGGTCTCTGGTAGGGGCAGGCTGGAGATGCACATGTGCTCTTTGCCCCCAGCACTAACAAATTCAGTTTATCTGGGATACTTTGGGTTTCCTCAACACTTTGTAAAACACAGCTGATCACTCGGGCAGTAGAGAAACAATCAGGGCTCAGCACCTGAGGTGAGGATCCCTGTTTGCCTGCTAACAATTTCTGAATCAAATGTACTCTGACTGAAGTAAAAACCACAGCATTTTCTGCCAGACCTTCCAATGTCACTTATAACTCAAAAGTCAAATGCTTTTCTTGCCTCTATCACCAGAAACCAACAATGTAGGTAAAATTGTAGCATGAATTTGGGAAGCACCCCCAGCAAGCGTAGCTAATCTATCCCTTGAAACACCACGACACCCCAGCATGTCACTGGGTTTCAAACTGTCTGTAGAAAGAGCTGAATATAAAAATGTAACAGAAGTTGTTGCTACCTCAAACTAAAGTATCCTTCTAAACAAATACCTCATATTAATGGGACACCAGACTTGCTGAGAGAAGCTTTCACTTTTTAAAGTAATGCCCCATACACAATTAAGAGAGCTAGAAAAAAATAAGTTTTTATACTTACTAAAGGTTCTCAATGGAAAACAGTGAACAGAGTGAGGGGATATGACTGAGGAGGACCTAAGAGTTTGATGCTACAGAAGTTGAGAATAATAATTTTTCACAATAATAAAGCTAAAAAATAAGAGCTCATTGAAAGGAGCTTAAATGGCAGTTGAATACTGACTAAGGTTTATTCATCTGAATTCTAGAAGAGACCCGCTCCATTTGTGTCATGTTTTCATAATCAGGTAACCTTGATTTTAAATCCATTTTTAAGCTATGTTAATGGCATTATCTATTGTGTCCCTAAGGGTCTCTTCTTGTCTCAGATGGTGCCCTCAATACTAATTAGCAACAATTCCATTTCACAGCAAAAGCATTTTTCTTTTTCCTTTTCAGCCTCCATTATTTTATTTGTCCTCACAGGATGGGAGATTGATACCAACTCCTATGCATGGACAGTTTCTCTTGTCTAAATTTCTGAAAAGCAAACTTCAGAACTTGCTTATGAAAAAAGAGGAAAGACTCCAGAGACATCATTCACATATACTGCATTTGCACTTATGGGATGTCATCCTTCCGGAGCATAAACTGACAAGTTTGTGTTTAAAATCCATCATTTACATCCATAAACTGATTTTATCAGGAAGGTTTCCCATATTAAAATTACCTGGCAGGTGATGTTAACAAAAGAGGGCTCCTGAAAAGATGGGTACACTGGAATACTTCTCTTCCTAGATTTTAGCAGCTCAGTTAATTCACGGAGTTGATGCTGCAGGTCTGTGAAGTTACCAGTCAGTTTTTCTACATTTTTTGAAAAGTAACTCGTCTCCTTTTCAGTGAATAGGTTATTCTTGTAAGAGTTTGGTATTTTGAAAGCTGCATCTGCCTGCCTTTTTGGAGATGTTGGCTTGTTAGAAAAGGCCAGTGGTGTGGCAGGGAGCGGCCCAGCCCGATGAACTGGTTCAGCACCGAGAGACTCGGCAGCTGGAGAACAATTCATGGAGATCCTTCTATCCTTGAGGTCACTCATGTTCAACGACGAACTTTGCTCGTACACAGGACTCTTAATTTCTTCAATGAGTTTCCTTCTGCTGGTAGGGGACTGAATGGCAACACGATCTGGTATCAAGAGTCCAGGGCTGAGAGGGTGACCATCTGCAGGGAGATCATGAGGTATGTTGGAAAGGTTCAAAGTGGGACTCACGTTCGCTGGCGCGGATGTCGAAGGACCCATTTCCAAGATGAGTTCCTTAATCATCAATCGGATCATGTATTTGTCTGATCTTGAGGAGGGAAGGAATGCAGGGTCAGTGAATTTTTGTCTTCCAACCAGTATCAGTAACAATTTATTGGTCAAGAAGCACAGACCCTTTGGCTTCTCATTTTTCTCTAGCTGAATTTGTTGAATATTGGGTAAGTTCGATGAAGTCAGTGAATAGACTAAAATAACATTGCAAGTATTGGAGGCCACTGATACAGTTTGAGTTTTGGGGTCAAAAGCCATTATATCAGGAACCAGAATGCCTGGAATGCTCACTTTTTTGGTAGAGGTAACCTTTCTTTCAAAGGTCACCAAGATAAGATGTGAAGAATCTTGGCCACTTCCTGTTAGGTAGTCCTTGGGCCTCAGGTGAAGAAGAGGACTGGAATCAGCACCCTGCTTGCTAGAAAGGATGTGAGTTAGATCCACAGGGGATGTCACAACGGACAAGGGCTTCTCAGGGTCCAGTGTCTTTTTCCCCCCATCCATGGAATACTCCTCCTCACCACATAAGCTGGACTGTGAGAGCAAGGACTCTGTCTCGGTGCCTGCTGGGACTTCAAAGGCAACACCAGCGTTTAAGCCACAGATCTTGTCCAGAGGAAGCTCGGTGGCCACAGCAACTTGGAAATTGAGAGTAGCTTCCACGGCACAGATGTAGCCTCCCACATCAAAGATGGGGCAAAAAGAGCAGGCGTTGAGTGTTTTCTGAGCATCATCCCAAACGTAAGAATGAAGGGCACTGCCAACCCCCACTACCAAGCGGTTGCCTTCCTTTGTCCAACAGGCACAGTGGATGAGACCACTGCCCTTGATATCTGCTTTGATCCTGGAGTTGTTGAGGTGAACCGAGTGCAGGACAGAAGCGTCCCGTGTCGTCAGCACAGCCAGGATCTCCTTCCTGGGGTGCCACACACAGCCCTGCGGGAGCACCGGGAAGGGCTCGCTGACCTCGCAGATCTGGGAGACCAAGAGCTTGTTCCTTTCAGTAGCACTGAAGCAGAGCTGCCAGATGGTGATGTGCTTCTTGTGCTGGACCGCGAGCAGCGCCGGCCCCTCTGGGGGACACGGGCCCCAGTAGAGCCCATGGACGTGTTCAAACTGACCCACGAC